ATAGGGACCCTGTACAGCAGAGTTTTCCAAGGATCAGCTGGTGGGTTTGAAACAACCACCTGTGGTTAACAATCCAGTGCTTATCCTACAGTGCCACACCAGAAATCCAAAAGGTAGCTTGAAAACGTAAAACGTATTTACACAGTTAATCTACAGACTATATCATAGATACTTGTTGTTATCGCAAGGTGCCTTTGAGTCAATTTCAACAGAGTTACCAATGACAGAGTACAAGTATCCCAAAGGAATTTTCTAGGCTGCAATTTTAATGCTCTGTAATTCTGAAGTTTCAAACAAAAGGAACAATTCTTTTCTCCGCATTCCCTCTAATAAGTTCCCAGAGCTGAACGCTTCCAATATTTAATTTTTTAATATAATTATTTAAATTACTCACTGAAAGATGTAAAAATATGTAGAAATTTGATTTAAACATGCATTTTACACTAATTCATAACAGATCCTCAAATCTCTAAATATTGAAAATGACATTGCAGATACTTTGTTTTATAAAGTAAACTAATATGAAATCAGATATCTAATAAAAATGCTATTAAGAACTTGAAATGTATGATAACACAGTAATAAGGCAATAATAATTATATAATCAATAGTAATAATGAATTCTCCTATTGAAATAATTTAATGAATGGTGGTCATTTTGGTATTGCAAAAGCAGAAGTTTAATACCTCAAAATTATGTAGCATGTTTCTTTTCAAAACTCACATTTCATCTTTCAAAATTGCTGTGCACCAGGGAAGCAAAGCAATTATTAGTGATGGAGAAATTGCAGGACAAAGAGGTAAGTGGTTTGTCTGAGTCATAGAGCAAGTCAATGCAATGTTTAATCTAGACGTGATTCTTTTCCTTAAAATTTCCCACTATTCAGTGTGGAAGTGGAATATTAGAGATCTCCTTGCCAAAGCAATGTTAAGCTTGAAAAATTAATTGTGATGGACCATCTACACCAAAATGGAAGCAAAGAAAAATGAAAGTTCAATCCAAACCACACTGGTAGATTCAGCCAGTGGTACCAAATTGTATTACCACTGAAACATTAAATGGTCTGGCTTTAGTACTTGGCCCTTTGGTAAAAAAATTTCTCCCGACCACATTAAAAGTGGTGCTAGTGGAGAGGAGTGCTTTAGAACATACACAAGTAGTAAAAATAAAACATCTATTTGCATATTATCAGTTTTTTGTGTTAGTTTTTAGCCATCCTCACAAGAGAGAGGGGAAATAGAAATGAGAGTAACAAGAAATTTTAATAAATGAAGACACTGAAATACTATCCATGAATACCGAGGTTTAGTTTTATTCCTAATTCCTTTCTTGTTTTTCATCAAGAACTGATTGTTTATATGCTTAATATGACATTTCAAGATTTCTTCTTCAGTTCCTAGATATGAAGAGACATACAAATTTTAAGTTCTTCCTGTGGCATCACTGGCATGACATGGCAATGCACTCTATTAAAAACACCAAATACAATACTCCTTAGATTCATTTTTCAATCTGCACTGTGACACAATTATAAAATTTTTCATTTAAAAATGTCATTATTGGTGATATTGTTAAGTGACTTTGAGTCAGTTTCGACTCATAGTGACCCTGTATAAGGTTTTACGAGGAGAGCTGGTGAGTTTGAAGCACCAATCTGATGGTTAGCAGTCCAGTTCTTATTCTACAGTGTGAGACCAGGACTCCCATTATTGGTAAGCCTGTGAATCAGTAAAGTGTAAGACATACATGCCTTAAAGTTTGAAAATAAAATTAAACACAAAGTGGCCCAATTGTGAGTTTTCTGCTGCAGGACATATTGGAAAATTCATAGCCCTGACATGCTGGACTCAGTGGAACAGTCAATGTTAAAGATTGGGAAACTGGTAAAACAGATATCTCTTTAAATGTATCACATGAACTCTATACTACATGGTTTGTTGGTAGTTATGTGCTATGGAGTTGGTTCTGAATCATAGCAATCTGAATCCAAAGCTGTAAACCTTTATGGAAGCTGAAAGCCTCCTCTTTCTCCTGTGGAACAGCTCCTAGTATCACACTGCTGACCTTGAGGTTTGAACTGTTGACCTTGAGGCTAGCAGCCTGACTCATAACCAGTACGCTACCAGAGCTCCTGAACTCTATGTAAGTGCAACTGAACTTACTAACATTTTGTAGCTGAGTTATTCTGGGTGAAGTTCATAAATCCTTTATACGACGACCAAAGCTTATTTTAGGGAATATGCATAACATAAATATAACTACTTAAGGCTATCTTTGGCTAGTAGAAAAATTGCTTCCAAAAGATCCTATTTCAATTTTCAGTGCTTTTAAACTAATTGATTCACTTTGAGTCTCTCAGGAATATTTAATTTTGCTCTTAGAGAATCCCTCTAGATGTGTATTCTTCAGTATCACAGAATCAGTAAGTTAAATTCCCAACATAAGGTCATTCACAAAATAACTTCTATAAACATATGCAGCTGTGTGCATAAGAAGTTATGCCTCTCATCAATGGTCTAGGTTGAGTTCCAGGACTACTGCTTATTGGATCTGTGGACTTGGGCTTCTAACTGCTTCACGTCTCAGCTTCTGTAAATGTAGACTTTAACCTGTTTCAGCATGGCAGTGTGACACTACTAAGATCATCTGAATCATATGACTAAAGTGGGCTTTTTTTAAAAAGAAAAATCACAAAACATGACATAGAGTGCACTTGTAGTGCAACAGTTAAGCACTCAGCTATGAATTGAAAACTTGACAGTTTGAACCCACCCAGTGGAGAAAGATCCAGCAATCTATTTCCACAAAGATTCCAGTCAAGAAAACTCTACGGCACAGTTCTACTCAGTCACATGGGGTAGCTATGAGTCAGAATGCACTTGACAGCACCCAACAACAAAGCACTATGCAAAAGTTATTCTTTTTATGCTAATTTGTATAATTTTTCACAATGAAATTATGCTGACTCAATGGGAAACTGACTCAACCAAGTTTTCCTCAAGTTTACATATACAAGAAATGAAAGGGAGTCACTCCTATGAAAATATCTTTCAGGCTGATGTTGGTTGATATGGTATAATGGCTTACATTGAGCTGGGGTGTCACTGCTGGCAGTCCCAAGGTGATGTTTGGCAACGAGGGAGAGGCATACAAACTTAACAGGTTCATGGAATCTTCATGAATTAGAATGCGCTGCTGTGAAACCATCTGCTGCAAGAAAAAATAAAAGAGAGTCTCAAACTATCACAGTAGCACACTTTCTTTTTTTTTTTAAAGTTTTTATTGTGAATTGAGTGAAAATTTACAGGGCAGATCATCAGTTTTACATTCAACAAATCATATACTTTGTTTCATTACAATGATTATAATCCCCTCCATGTACCATTAGTTAACAGTATTTCTCTCCATTCATTTTAGCTTTTTTTTTTTTTAAACACTCAGGCATACATAATAATTAAAACCACCAAAGGGCACATTCTGCATATCTGCTTCCTGGCAGCCAGTTCTCAGTCCCTCTAATTCCATGAATTTAGAGTCCTCAGCTGCTCCCTCTCTCCATGCCCCCATGTCCATTTCCATCTCTAGTGTTGCTGTTTCTCTGGATAGGGTCCCACATTCTGCTTGTGGTCTTCTCCCTTGATGGTCCTAGGGTCCTCTGCTTCTGGACTGTAAGATTAACTATTCCTCCGTTTTTGTTACAAAACTTCTACCTTTACAATTGTGACAGTCGCAATTTGTCATGAGTCGCAATAGTGAGTAACAATTACTCACTATTAAATCATGAGAATCTTATCCTCATCTCTTCTCACCAGACCCAACTAGACAAGATGAAAACTTTTCAGTGGGGACTTTATCTTTCCCTGTACACTTTTAAACTAAACTCCCTCTTGAAACCTTGTAAGCCAGTCATTCTGTGCCTTTATCACCCCCTCATTTTAGGTAGCCAATGTCTAAGTTGCCCATCCCTATCTACCCTGTGTACAGAGGGGATAGATAGCATTGATACTTGATGTGAAGAGTCCTTCCCTCTCTGTTGGTATTTTGAGCTGCTACATCCAGGAATATAGGTCAAGTTCATTAAATTATAGCAATTTACCCACATTTCCTTTATCAAAAATTATTATTTTCATCTTCCTCTAGTCGAGTTCTGATTATTAAGCCACTGAGTTTAGGTCAAGTGGGTACTATCTGCAAGTTTGGGTGTTCTTGTGTGTCTCCCCTCACTTCATATCAGCTGAATGCTTCACTCTCAGCTCTAGCCCTCCGTGGCTATGTCCTTGTCCATCGGCTACGGTGTCCCCAGTTCTCACCATACTTTGGACCAAGCAGCCCTTCCTCTTCTCTCTCTCATCTCCAGGTCAATGGAAGTCTAAGGAATGTGGTTGAACTCAGCCCATTTCTTCATTGCTGCCTTCCCCCGTCTTCTACTCACCAACAGACCAATGTGGCCGCCAGCAAGTTTACATGCTCACTCATGTGTTCCCTTTGAGTTTCAGTGTTAGAGAGCGGTTTATCCTGAAGGGACTTGATTGCTTGCCTTGATGGCTTCTTGGCGAACAATTTGCTTATTGTTTTGGGATTTTCCTGCTGATCTTTCTTTGAAGGTGTATCTTCTGTCACTGTAGGTGTTCCAGGCTGGTCTGCTTGTTCTTTCTAGTGAAAATGTCCCACCTCAGAAGATTCTGGATAGGGCTCAGGATTTCACCTAAGATTCTATATATACTGCAAAGGCTCCGCAAGAGGTCTATTCCACTGGGCAAATTCTAGAACCATTTTTAGGTTTTCCAATCAGTTACAGGCTGAAGATGGGCTTACAAGCTTTCTGTAATTATGATTTCTGACATTCCTTTCTATACCACTCAAGTGTCTATTTTACAGTAGTAGGCAAGGGAAACCAATATACATTCATAAGGCAGTCATGCATTTTAGTATTATTACCCCTCCTCAGACTATGCCTCGATCCATGTATCATAGAGCTCTGTTGTTCCAAGTTTGAGCATGAAACACTATTTACCTTTGTCCCATCTAGCCCATGCAAACCTGTCTCGATGTTCCCCCATCTACCTTGTTCTTTCACCCACTACCCCTTATGTGTTGTCCTCTGTAACTCCTGAGCTATGATGTGTCTACCCCCTACCCTGAGTGATACACATTTTATTGTAGACTTTTCGCATTTCAGAAAATAAGCTCAAAACTATGGAAATAGTTAAGTATTTAAGCATTTATTCCACATTTTTCTATCCAAGCATTATATGTAAAACAATGAAAATCTGAGGAAAGAACTTTTATGTTCACTTCACCAAATATGTTTTTTAAATATCTTATTAACTATTTGCTATTGCCATTTATTGGGAAAGGCACTAAACAAATGGTATAATTTTGATAAGTATATATATACTTTCTTTATACTAATGTGTGTTAAAATATGTATATACTGTAACTGGTCATCATTTTACTGATCAGAAATTTCACACCAGAAAATCGTACTTATTGCTCCATTTGTTGTTGTTAAGTGTTTTTGAGTCAGTTCTGACTCACAAAACCCTGTATAGAGTTTCCTATGAGTGGCTGGTAAATTTGAACCACTGACCTTGCAGTTCAAACCAACCTTGTGGTCCAGTGCTTATCTTTCAATGCCATACCAGGGATTCATCACTCTTTAAGACATCTATAATAATAATAATATCTGTTTCCTTTTTTAATAGAAATTTTTATGAAGAGACAATTTTAGGTGGTGCTTTTTTGAATCAATTCATATTCAGAAAGGAAAGTAAATTTGCTAACATTCTGAGTTCCCTATGCCACAGTAGCCTTCATTTACATGGAAATACCCTGAATGTTACGGCATCACAGTGCTTTTTACAACAAATGTCGTTTAACAAATCCAATAGTAAGAGTCATGTTTTCCCACATGTGGCCTAATATGGCTGCTTGAATTACATTTTCTGTTTAACTCTTGCTTCCCTCCCAGAACTTTTATACAATAAGAGTTACAAAGGTCTTATTAGACCAAGGAACTCTGGCCTGATATGGTCCCCAAGGGAACAACATCCCTGAAAAAGAATACTCCATGTAACAGTATGACACAGTGACTGCTTTCTTCCCAAACAAAAAGCATATGGGACTCCAATAATAGACCACCTCCAAGAGGGATATTGCACACACGGGCTTTGACTAAAGTAAATATAATAACTTGTCAAGCATGTTTGGGGGAGCTGTAGATTTTCCCCTGGACAAACCTGGGATATCAATTAACTGGGGAAAATATCATGTGCTAATACAATGCAACCTCAGAATGTCACTGAAGAGTGATGCTCCACCAAAACACAGGATGTTATTCCAAAACATCACCTCAATCATACGTTTGTTTGGAGATGAGTCCGAGCCTTAACATAATAAGAGTAGAAGGTTAAATCTGGGTCTTTCTCATTGCAACTTAGAACTCTAAGCTACTCAGTTTTCTGTGTGTGTGGTTTTTTTGTCCTTAAAAGAAAAAGTCCAATATTTACATATGAAAATCAAGAGGTGTGTTGGAACCATTAACATTACATAGACTTTATATGAAACTGTTCACAAAATAAAAGTTGTTTAAAATACCATAGCATGAGAACCATTGGAAAGGATTTTTATCATAATAAAGTATAAAATTATCAGTTTATTTTAGGTACTGTCAACAACAGTTGTCTATTTGCCGTACTTAAAAAGATAAGCCTCTATTTTTTTCTTTCACAAATATTATTTGAAAAAAAAAATTAAATGTAGAGTATATATAACTAACCAAGAATGTGTAAGGAAGGAAAATATTTTATCTAGCTTAATGGCAGCAAACAGTAATTACAAGAAAACAAACACACGCACCACACATTCCATTCACTTATCTGTGTATACTTTTTTCAAATGTAAAAAAAAAAAAAAAAAAAAAAGCCCTTTTAATAATTTTTAACGTTCATTCAAGAGTGTATCTGTTTCTTTTGATGCAAAATAGCCCATAGACTTCACAAAAGAGATTCTTTTTTGTGTCCTAGACAGAACTTCAGTGATGTCCTACCTCCTCATCATAGGAGCAAGGAAACAGAAATTCTTATCAGATGTGATAATGGCAGCAGCATATTCGCCGCTCAAACAGGTTTGACTAAACAGAGTTGGGGATATTCTTATTATGAGGATATAGATTCCTGCAGTTTCCTTAAACAAACAAAAACCTGTTTTGGGACTGTGACTCCATTTCCTAAAGTACTGTATGTATTTTCAGCATTGGTACCAACTGTTAAGTGCTAGGCTATTAACTGAAAGCTTAGCCATTTAAATCCACACAGAGGTGACTTGGAAGAAAATCCTGGTAATCTGTTTCTGAAAGGTCACAGCTTGAAAACCCCATGGAGCAGTTTTACTAGGCAGCACACCTGGGAGCACCATCAGTCAACAATTGACTCAGTGACAACTGAGTTGTTTTATATCATGTGCCACACCCTGTGTTGAAGATTTTTCAGAGGTTTATCCATTCTTTAAAGGTACTCTCTAGCAACCATTATGTTTATTTTATAGATGAGAAGGAAGAGTGATTTCCTCATCATTGCTACAATGCTGCCTTGTAACAATGATCCTCAGTGTAAACAATAACAAAGTTTAAAAATATGACTTGTCTTTAGGTGTTACTGTTGAAAAAGCAACCACACAAAGCATGGAGAAAGGTGGCAGACCTAAAGATGAATCGGAACTAAACGCAGACACTGAGGTTGATGGAAGGGAATGAAAGTGTGCACCTGAGAGTCTGGTCTGGGGGACTATGGACGTGAGGATCTCCAAGTCATGGAGACCACTCTTGAGATTCCTGAGAAATCGAAGTAAGTCCTACATCCCCAAAGCCTGCTGGGTAGAGTTGGTTCTTCCAACAGAGACACGTATGATATCAATATCATAGACCTTTAAAGAGTTGCTTAGCTTAACTCTTTGAATGCCAGATAAGGAAAAAGATTCAGAGTTTACGTAGATTTCCAATGGCCTAAAAATTACAATTAACTCTACAGAACTAGAAACAGTCCTCCTCAAATTAACTTCTTCAAATGTAGCCTCCCTCAACTAGACTTACATTACAGAGTAATGCCTCTTAAGAGAGGATCTGGAGATGTATTCTACACTACTAATCAAATGCAGACACATTTGAAAGTCAAATGAACAGGTGGTGAGGGAAACATTCCACTTAATGAAGA